GATATTGCGATACATATTTTTAAATGTGTTAAGAGGTGAACAAAACAGAGGAAATTAGAGTTGGGTGGAATAAAGACACCAAAATGAAATAAGGGAAAGAATGTGGTCATAAAAATACTAGATAATCACCAGTTGGCCACATAGAGTGATACAAGGTGGAAAACCAGTGAATGAAATATTTACAGTATAAATACGTTAAACAGACATGTTGGCGAGACAAGACGAGATGGCCCATAAATTGTCTCTCATCAGCCTGTTTGTCTCGGTGTCTAATTTGAATGTGGCTCAGTGGCGCTGAGCTGTTTTCATCAGGTTAGTCAATGCAGGAGAGTGGGATGGTGTTGGACCTCAATTAGTTGTAAATTAGTAGGGCTGTACGAGAGGCATCTGTTTTCTGGCTAGTTCATGTCTTTTTATAGCCTTCTTGTTTTCTCCCGAGACAAAACATGCAAGTCTTTCATGAATGTTCAGTTCTCTGGATTTGTCCCTCTTTTTCATGTTCAAAGGTGTGTGTTTTTGTAAAATTAAGTTTTAGAGTTTACTTTTTAGGTTTGAGGTTTATTCATGAGCAGGGCTATTGATGTGCATGATCTTGGGCAAAAGCTGAACGTTTTTTGCTTTTTCTGAAGAAAATGTGACGCACTATAACTATTTATGAGTTGGTCTGACAACTTTCCCAGAGAATAAACTACTGTTCAAATGTTTGGGGATGGTAAGTTTTGTTTTGTTTTGTTCTCCTCGTATGGCACAAATTCATAAAATACTGTAAAAACAGTAATGTTGTGAAATATTAAATATCTGTTTTCTATTTGAATGTTTCTGTGATGCAATGCTGAATTTTCAGCATTACTCCAGTCTTCAGTGTCACATGATCCTTCAGAAATCATTCTAATATGCTGAGTTGGTGCTCAATAAACATTTAATATTATCAATGAAAACATTTGTGCTGCATAATATTTTTGTGAAAACCATGATAAATTATTTTCATGATGAATAGAAATCTTTCAACTACTTTCTAAGTATTTTCTTTAAAAATCTTATTGACCTCAAACTTCTGGGATTTTTTAATATGTATTTATAATACCATGGTCTTGCACACACATAGTCTATAGTATTCTTAAAAACGCCATGATTTGAGCTAGCATTTATGTCTTCAGTGCAAACGGCGCAAGTTATGAATTTATGAAAACCTCTTAAATTACCTTCTCCAGTGCATTTTTGCAGCACGTGTGCTGTAATGTAATCTGCTGTAATCTCGTTTTTCAAACAAACCTCAGATTAGCGTGCTAGTATGACTCTAAACGGTATTGTTATTCATTAACTGCATCATAGCAATGCTTTCTAAATGGCCTGCAATTGGATTACTGTAATCTGTATGGTGCAAGGCTAATGTGAATGAGACGAATATTACTGAATCCAAAACCATAAGGGATGAGAGTAAGTGCATTTGTCTGATCGTTTGGAGTTGTTGGGAGGAATGAAGATCTTGTTAAATGGTTTATACGGTTTATACGTTGAATACATGGTCCCCACAAACATATAACAGACTAATGAGAACCTTTTAGGGTCATTTTGGTATTATATGATGGATGTTTTATAGGAATTCTATAAATAGGATTCCTCCCTTTGTTGTATAAAGGAGTAATAAAATATGTAATTACTTAATTTATTTATTTCACAATATTCTATTTTATAATAAAATAATTTTATTTTGCAATATTAATTTTTTTCCTGTGAGGATTTTAAAATATATATATACATATATTATAGAAAACCTATTAAAAGACATGTACAGCAGTACACTCACAGAACAAATGTTAAAAGGAGGCAAATGTTACAAAGCTTTGAACATGTTTTTCTCTGTCATTTAAGTTAAAAGTACTTAAAAGTGTAAGGAAGTGGTCACCCCTTTGAGCAAGAGTCTATTGTAATGCATGTTTGGGTGTGAAATTGAAATAGATCTTTACATTATTAATAACTACCAAGCTCAGACAATAGCTCTGGCAAGAAATGGATGCGTAAGTGTAGGGTTGAAAATGGAGATATGTAATTAAGTGTGATATTTAACATGAATCACTTAATTGGTGTGCTTTGCTAGAAATAATGAGGTTTGCTGTATCATTCAAAAGCAAGAGGATGCATTTGTGTATAAGGAGCAGAGTGAAGAGTCTTGAGGCTGCTGCGGTTTGTTTTGTCTATCACTTATGATAAATGGGGTGCTAAACCCCTATAGTCTGGCTAGTAGAGCAAACATTTGTATCGACATACATCCTTATTGTTACATTTTACTCCGTGGTGTAAACTTAACCTTGTCCTTAAGATCTAAGTAGCAATAGAAGGATTTATCTCTACAGACTACAGACTGATTTTGATAAAGAAATAGCATGTGGTGTGAGGGAGAGAGAGAATCAAAAGGAAAAACAATGATATTCTGCACACGGAGGAATGAGAGAACTAGAAGGGAAGCTAGACGCCTCCTGCCACCCCCTGTCACTCAGAAACAATGACTTTGAACTTTTTAAGTGCAGCACAAGTGGCCTCTTTTCCTCTCAAAGAGACAGATATTGCTCTGATAACAGCCTCTGTCTGCCTGGCTTGATGGACATCACTGTCAGCGCAAGCTTAATTTGACCTTTCACAAGCCCGTCCACGCCTGTGCCATCACGTTCCATGAGTTCTCTCACGAAATGAGAGAAAGCGATGGGCTTAGGCATTCTTTCATTTTAGAACGGAACACATTCGCTGTGATTATATTGGCGAGAAAAAAAAATCTTGCCAGAAAGGTATGTATTTGGATAATCTTTGGCGTGTATATTTATGCATTTGTTACCTCTTTTGTTATATCAATCTGTCTGTCTGTCGGTCGGTCGGTCGGTCGGTCGTTTAAAAGTTTGGGATCAGTAAGATTTTTTATGTTTTCATCCAGGCTGTATCTATTTGATAAAAATAATTTTGTGAAATATTATTGCAATTTAAAATAACAGTTTTTTATTTTAATATCCTTTCAAATATAATTTATTCCTGTGAAGCAAAACTGAATTTTCAGCACCATAACTCCAGTCTTCAGTGTCACATGATCCTTCAGAAATCATTCTTATATGCTGATTTATAATCAATGTTGGAAACAGTTGAGCTGCTTAATTTTTTTTTGGACCTGTGATACTTTTTTCCGGATTCTTTGATAAATAAAAAGTTAAAAACACTGTTTATTCAAAATATAAATTTTGTGTTACAATCTACACTACTATTCAAAAGTTTTTCAGTATTTTTTTTCTGTTTTCTTTTTAAAGAAATTAATACTTTTAATCAGCAAGGATATGTTAAATGGATAAAAAGTGATAGTAAAGACTGGTTAGATATTGTTAGAAGAGAATTAAAATTTTAATAAATGATGTTATTTTAAACTTTTTATTAATCAAAGAATCAAAGAAAAAGTATCACAGGTTCCAAAAAAATATTAATCAGCACAATGGTTTCAACAATGATAATAAATCAGCATATTAGAATGATTTCTGAACGATCATGTGACACTAAAGACCGGAGTAATGGCTGATGAAAATTCAGCACTGTGTCTATATTAAAGTATATTAAAATAGGAAACCAATATTAGAAATTGCAATAATATTTCACAATATTACTGTTTTTTTCTGTATTTTTGATCAAACAAATACAGCCTTGATGAGCATAAGAGACTCTATTAAAAAACATTAAAAATCTTACTGATCCCAAACTTTTGAACAGCAGTGTATTATGTATGTGCCTTTAGCAAGGGGAATAATCAATACATTATATATAATTTATATTTTATATTATTTTTTTAATTTATATGGCAACAGCTTTTCATCAGGTAAGCACAGCTCACATTTACTTCAGAAACTATATAGAGTATTTAGAGTATAACTATATAGAGTATTTTTAATTTAAGCTGAAAATGGATATAGGCAGAGTTGGTCTGTTTAGTTGTGTGATATGACGCAATAGGCGCCATTTTAATAATCTGCATATCAGTCCAAAGCCACGGAAAGCTCATTTAAATGTCTGCTGTGTGCTTCAATAATTGCCATAATTATATTGAGGTGGGAAAGGGCCAGATTTGTATTAAACATTCCTGCTTTAGAGAAATGTACCTTAGAGTAACTTTGTTGGTTTGACGGCTGGCACGTAATTCATATTATAGTCTCGATGAAGACCATTCTTGCCAGAAAATAATAGTTGGCATCTGTTCCCTTTTTTTTGTGTCTTTCATTTTTTTTTTAATGCATTTTGGCAACTGAGGTAAGATATTAAAGCTTCATTTTGTGGAGAGCCATTGGCTGCCAAAGTCTGTGATCTTGCAGCGCTCTCTTGGAAGAGCTCTTGAAGAGGCACTCTCTTTAAATGGCGAATAAAGCCACTCTATCGCTGAGTCAGTGTGTGTGAGCTGAGGGAATCTTAAAAGACAATACTTTTATTCATTGGCAGGGACATTTATGACTCCCTTTGTGATTAAAACACATTAAACAATCGCCAAATCCTTTCAGAAAAGCATTCATATGTATGCGAGTGAACCAGCTCTGAATGATCTATAATGTGACATAAAAGATGACATTTTAAGATCACAATTGCCTGTGGCTTCCTTCCTCCTCATTCCACAATGTTGCATCAGAGACCCGCTCATGCATACTTCTATTCAGGGCAGCATTTATAGGACTGAGAGCTGGTGCTACAACACGACCCGAGTTGGTAGTCAACAACCTCAAATGTCAGATTTTCTCCGCCTGTGCGTGCATGATGTGAACTTTGAAAGTGGCTTGCATTGAGTCTTTGAGTTTCAGGGAGATGATTTGTTACTGAGATTATCACAATGTGAATTTTCCTTTTCTGTCGACGACGTGCGAGAGACATCCTACAATGTCAGCTCACACTGAGTACTGTGACATTTGTGACTGATGGTGTGATGATGTGTTCAGTAGGAGGCTTGTTATAGATGACACATTTCCTCTCCTCTGATCTCTCCACAGGGACCGCCCAAGCCAGTTGCCGTAGAACCCTGTTCAGGGGGTAAAGCAGCGGTGCTCACAGTGCTAATGTGCCTCCCAAGAGGGGCATCTGGTGTTCCTCCACCTGGCCAGTCAGGTCAGTAATTTTAAAAAGGTGTCCTAAAATGCGTCCCCACTTTACATGTACAGTACCTTGTTTTACCTTGTCTGAAGCTCAAACTGTAGAGCATGGTGCTGGCAACACCAAGGTAACAGGTTAGATTTTTAGGGAATGCATTGCTTGAATGCAATATCAGTCTCTTTGGATAAAAGCATCTGCCAAATGCATAAATGTAAACAGTTTAGCATCTGATACCATAATTGTACCATAGTGCACCACCTTTTTTGTACACAGATTATAGGAAAATTAAGGTAGAAGCATTATGCAGACACAAATACATAATAACCTGATAATATAATAATCAGTTTTTGTCGCCAGAAGTGGTTGTGTCAGTTTAAATGAACTAAGTGGCTCATTGTTCTGAAATTCTTGGATATACCAGTATTAAATATCTGGTGAACTTAAATATCAAAATTCTTTACTTTTTTGTCTAAATAAATTCAAAATGAAACACGAATGCTGCAAGTTACAAATTAATTTAGGCATCACAGTATTATAATGTACACTACAGTATGAAAAATGGATATTAATTTTAAAATTTGTAATCTTGAAAAAGATTGCATTTAACAGTGGCACATTATTAAATTAATTAATTAATTGCTAGATTATCAGTGTTTTTGAAGATTACATTTTAAGGGAGTGTTACAAAAATACATTTTATAATTCATATTAAATGAATTAAATTATTAGTGTTTTTGTAGATTAAATTGAGCATTACACCAAAGATAATGTAAATGTAAAAAACAAAGATAATGATATTGCACAAATAAATAACAAATATTGACCAATACCCATGGCTCGATTTGAGGGGGGATGGCATCCACCTGGTTGAAAAAAATGACAAAAGCATCCCCTCAGTAAAACCACCATCCCCCCTTATCATCCCCTTTGAATTAATAATGTGTATTATGTAAAACTTATCATGCAAATGAAATATTAAAATCCTCTACTTAATTCATGAATAACAGCGATTGGCCAATCAGAACTCAGTACTGTAACAAGCTGCGCACAAGCTGAAGCAGGTTTTTGTTGTTTTTCACGCAAAATGGTGACAGACAACAGAAAAGGTATGATTTTTCCTTGATTCGAATTTAAAGACATTCCCCTAATGTCTAATCCTCCTAATCCCATAATGTTATTGTGCTGTATGTGTGACTGTGAGGGATTGAGAGACGATAGGAGAGCTGGCATTGAGTCATCAACTTTGCAAAAGCCAAACAAAAACGTCTTGATAGTCAAAAAGCATTCACTGTGCGAAGAAGCCTATTAGAATACAGTTAAAATATCCTTATAATTCAAGCAATTAAAGAAAAATTACCCATGTATGAGTTTTTATGTTTTTTATATTCGTTGGACAAGCAATGTAATTTTCTAAATATCAGTACATGTGAGAGCACAAATGTGCATAGTAGTAACACAGTGTTTTGTTCCTTGAATGAATCAATTTTTGAACGAACCGAGTGAGCCAGTGATTCAACAGCCCATTCAGATGGACTCTTGGGCTGCGTTTCCCAAAAGTATCGTAAGACACATTGCCACAAATGGAGTTGGCTTACGATGCTTTTGGGAAACGCAGCCCTGTTTAGTTTCTAATTGAATCAGCTGTTTTGAACGAATCCTTTGATTTGAATGATTCAATAAATCATTTATTGAAGCAGGGACTTGCTGCCACCTACTGGCGGTTTTATTGTCATTATTATTCATCCATGACAGGCCTAAACCAGCCAAGGTTTCAGCACAAAAACACATTTAGCAAAATATTGTTATATCGATATCAATATTTCAGGCCCCAGAAGGGGAAAAAAGCTTATAAATAATAGTTCATTTAATGAGGCTATTTTTTCTTTAAATAAAAACTTTAAAAAAAAAATCAACACATTTTGTAATCATTATCTAAAATTAACTAAAGAACCCACATACCCCCACCCCCTCTGGCTTGCTTAGTTGGGGACACTTCATTTCCAGCGTTATCGTTGACATGATTGCAAAGATATTATTTAAACTGAACTGTGCTGGATGTTGACATCACTGAATTCAATGATGAACTGTCTTTAACTGAAAAATGAGTGTTTACTATTGTCATTTTGCATTATTGACACTATTTTCCTAATTAATGCTGTTCAGTTGCTTTGTCACAATCTGTATTGTTAAAAGCGCTATATAAATAAAGGTGACTTGACTTGACTTGACCCCCGAAAAATAAATTGACCACAATTTCGCCACTGCCAATACCAATATAGTTAAATATATATAAATGTATATCCCAATTGTTACTGCATGTTCTTTTGAGATTTACCTCCATGTGGACTTGGTAAGTTTATCCCTAGCATAAAATTTGACTGAAATGTACAACTCTGACATGGTACAGGCAGCTTCTCAGTTAATGTTTTTCACCGAATTAACATGCCCGCTGCTCGCTTATTATGTTGCAGTCTGGTTCATTCCCCATGTGGGAATTAATTTCATGCAGGAAGTCAGAGAAGTTCTCCAGCATTCCCCTGGTGGTCTGCTGTAAGTTTGTCTGTGACTGCAGGTCATATCCTCTTACACCACTATGGCTTACCCCAGTCTGTATGTCTCCTGCCTATAGCCTGAATAAAAAAGATCTAGTCTGTTACAGCTTATTGGACCAAGAAAATCTGAGGAGACATTGTACCTCTCAGTGTCCTTGACTTTGAGACGAGGGATTGTCTTGTTCCTGTGAGCACCAAACACAGCCTCTACAAATGTACAAACAAAATATAATCGATTCAATAATGATGGTGTCCAGTTTCTGTCTTTTTTCCCCATCTTTGTCTTTCACCTTCAACTGACAGCACCTTTTCAGAGAGCTCGTACTGACATATCACACACGCATATATTTAGACAGCAGTGCTTTAAAAGCCATGTCAGCTCGAGGTCTGTCTCATAGACCTCTGTCTGGCTTTAAGAGCTACAGAGTGATAAGACGGGGCTAAGAAAAAACCTTTTACCCCCTCCTCTTCTCAGCACACCTGTCAGTCAACATGCTGCTTTATGGGACCTTGTCCCTTTAAGCTTGACTTCCTCCCCAGGAACTTGACTGATCTGGAGGAAAAAAACAACAACTTTTGTTTCAGTAAAGCTTCTCTAATAGCTTCTCGTTTGTTTGACGAGTACAAAATAGAGGCAACAAATAACAGCACATAACAAAAACAACAACTGATATGCACAAAAAAGAAGAAGAAGAGTATTTTGGTGATATTTAAAGGAGGTTGGATCTGTCGAGACAGAGCTTTGTAATTTCATGACACTGAAAACTTTAGAGTGGCTGCTTGCTGGGCTGTTGAAGTTCGTCATGAGCACTTTTGGAGAGAGGTACATCAGATATAGAGTGAGAAATAAAAGGAGAAAGAGGCTGAGGGGGAAAAATGTTGAGCCTGTTCTGAATCAACAAAGAATATTTTTGGAGAGAAGCACAGGAGCTTTGTGCACAGATGTAGCTTTGTCGTCAAAGAGCTTTGTTTTTGTTTGTCTTTGGAAGTTTCACAGCAGGATGGATGTGTAGGTGTTTGTCTGCTAGGATAAAGCGGTGCATCACCTTCACAAAGCAGACCAATCTGTGTTTGACTGATTTAGGAGCTTGGAGCAGAGCAGGCCGCTTTTGTCAGCTGTCACCCTGCTCTGTCTGTATGTCTACCTGGTGTGATGTGAGTATGATCCTAAAAGCGTGGTACCTTTTTTTTTACTTACTGAAACAGCCTCCCACTCGACTTAGCGCTGGGACACGATAATAAACTCAGCCAGCAGACAGCCGCTGATCGCTTCTAACCGTATTGATTATATTCACAGATCCTACGAGATTTCCACGGTGCCGAAGGTCTCTCTCGTTCCGCGGCTGGCTAACAAAATCATCTGCATGTTTATTCATTATATGCATGTGTGATCAAATAAGTGACCTTCTTTCCTTCTCATTAGGATTTCAGTGGGAAAGTGTGCATGTCCGGCCTTATATAACATGGAATCATTTTAGCTAAGCAATGTAAAGATAAAATGTAGAGATATGTGCTTGTAGTATTTTATTTTATTTTATAATTTATAATTTTATTTTATCTATGCTGGTAGTATTTTATTTTATAAAATAAAATAAAATACTACAAGCACATATCTCCAAATTTTTTCTTTACATTGCTTAGCCAAAATGATTCCATGTTTAAAATAAAATGAAAATAAAAAATAAAATACTACAAGCACATATCTCCACGTTTTTTTTACATCACTTAGCCAAAATGATTCCATGTTATGAAAAATAAAATAATAATAAAATAAAATACTACAAGCACATATTTCTGCATTTTTCCTTCCATTGCTTATCCAAAATGATTCCATGTTTAAAATAAAAATAAAATAAAATAAAACATTACCGATAAGTATATGTTGGTGATCATTTCTTTTTGTTTTGGGTTTTGACATCTGAAATCCAAGAATTTCAAAAGTCATTTTAGCAGCTCAGTACAGTTTTAAATGCAAATTTTTTTCACTGTAGAAGATATTTTTGAGTTCTGAAAGCTCTTTTATTTCACAATCCTCACAATCTGACCTATTAAAAAAAACTAAACAAAAAAAAGGCTTAAAAAATTTTTTTTTTGTTATACACTGCTGACCCATCATTACTGGCTCACATCCAATCCTTTTTGACCTGAATGGTGAGTAGTTTAAGTTCATGCAAAACCAGCTCTAAAAGCACTCTGGTAGTAGGCGTACACTGCGTGCTTCAATCCCGAGGACTGTTCTGTTGACAGACGTGTAGTTTTCACATTCCTCCCTGCAGCCCAGGTGTGTTGGGTAATAAATCGATGTAGGGCAGTGTGTAACTGTCTGAGGCTCAGGTTGTTCTTGGATGTAAATCCTCTTTGCCTGAACGCTTGAAGCTCCGGCTTCACACTGATGTGCTGAATTCAATTCATTTTGCCCTGGCCTGTCTGAAGTAATGAATTGTTCCCCTCCGATAATTGTATTGCTTCAATAGAAGGGAGGGAGCAGTGCCAGACTAGCACAGAAGTGACCGTTGTGTTTGTAGGATGATTTGTGAGATGCTGCTTTGAAAAATGGCTTTGGGGTTGCGGCCATGGTTTTGACCACAGCAGTCTGTGACAGAATCCTGGCGCGAAACATAGGGTGCTGGGAGTTAAGCTCATTTCAAACCCCCATCCTAGAATAAGAGAAAAGTGGCTACAGAATAGGAGAAAGTAATGCTCCTTGAAACCAATGACCTTGGTGATGAACAAGGCATAGTTTCCAAGTCTTCCAAGGCATGTGTGGAAACCTCTTTATGCATGAACAGTCAGGAATCCCTCTTTAAAAATGAACGAGCTAACTGTTGTTCTTTTGAAAGAGATAGCTTTAAGTTACCATTGCCCCCTTTTTAAATAACTTTGCTTTGACATGTAAATGAAGCGTTTTTGCTTTTGAATGCTCTCTGCGAGTCTGCACTGCTCCTCTCTGACCCTCGGTTTGCTTTGTTGTGTGTTGTCTGCAGGTATAGCCATCGCCAGTGCTCTTATCGACACGTCCCAGCAGAAGCCCATGGACTTCAAAGAGAAAAGCCAAGGCTTGAAGAACCGCAAAGCTCTGCCTCCCACTCACCAGGGCACCTGTGTTTGAATCATCTGTGGCCTCGTGGGCTGTCCTTTACCAGAGCGACCTCCTCTCTTGTGCTGCTTCAGGCAGACGACGGCCTAGAGTGGCCCCATGTGAGGGGATTATTTAGGCGACAGAGTGCCCTCTATTTCCACTCCACATTCACTTTATCTCTCCACGTCATAAATAGATCTCGTCCATTTCGAATGACCTTGCCGTCAACACCTGGTCAAGCTCAGACATTACAAGTTCAACTCCATCCGAACCAATCGACAGGCTTCGTCTTGATTCATCCGACTCTTGGTGCCGTTGAGCCCTCATTTCTGTCTTCTCAAGGCCTTCTGAACATTGAGGGTCTCTCCCATCAGCTTTACACCAAGCACAGATGTGCCTCTAGCATGGTTTGTACATTTTGGACCAGAGTGTCTTGCTAAGCCAGAAGTAGCGTTCTGGTAGTCTCGGGATGGTCGCCGGATTTGTGTACGGGTTGCTCACCTATTGGTATGCTCGCCAACTAGACTTATGTTTTTGCTAAATTTTTAGCTCTTTCGACATTTTATTTAAGAGATGGACTATAGACATTTTTGCCATGGTGTGGAAGCTGTCTGTCATGTAAGCTAATGACGTTCTGCTGCTGGTAGCTTCATGCTTGGTAAACTCATGTTAGGAATGGATCACATCCGTTTTTAACTAGATAGGTTTCACACATTTCATACTTATGCTCTTCTTGTGAAGACTTTGCATGAACCACTCACACTATGCTTGAAAATTTTAAACCGTTTGTGGGTTACGTGCCACACGAAGAATGTCTTCATGTCTTCATGTCTCTCGTTTTGCAGCGGTACAGATTTAAATGAGCAATGACTCATAACTTTGCAGTAACGATTTATCTCTTTATAATGAACTTTTGTATTCTTAAGTTTCACATATTGTGAATGTCAACAGAGGAAGATGATTTTGAGAAGACCAGCAGGTGAGAGTGTATTTAGACTGTTCATACACTCAAGGACTGAGTCCTTTCAGAGCAGGTTTACCAGGATTCACCATACAACTGGATCTTCTGAATCTCAATTCTCTAACACATCGCCAGGACCGAGCCTGAGCCCTCCTTGGGTAAAACAGGATGTCCGGGGGACTTATTTTCCTCTCTGTGGCAACAGCAAAAAGTGTACAGCATCCTAATCATCACTCGTTTGCTTTAGATGGACTTGAACATGTGAATCTAATGTGAATCGCTCTTTTTCTCCATGTAGCTACTTCAATGTTTTCGTTTGTATTTTTTGCTGGTTTTAATAAAGGATATTAAAAGGTCAATAGGTATTTTTAGGGCCACCCTCTGTACATGATGGTGATGAGGAATAATTGTCTTTTACAATGTTTGTGAAAAAAAAAGAAATGTTGAATTGTTTTTGTAACTAATTGATTCCTGTGTAATACCTCTGTGATTTGATTCTTAGGTCACTCATGTTACTAACTCAACTCATGCTGGTATCTAATTTTAAGGTTAGATGTAAACTGAAGCTGCTCATCTAGATTATTCTGGGCATTTTTGAACTTACTTTTCAGGTCATGATGTGTTAGGAACTTAGTTTCTGAGCTATTTTTTATCTTGAAGTAGGAGATTGTCACGCAGGATTTCTACAGACTGATTACACAGGAATCATCTCACTGTATCTGAGAAAAAAACAGATTCATTCATCCCTCAGTGCATATCATTAATCTTCATTGTATTTTAAAGATGAATGGAAAAATAAAACACTTGAATATTCAGAAGTTCATGGATCATTCCAGTGCCTATGAATATGAAGAGCTCATCTCAAATCAGTCATTTGCTGTTAACAAATACTCCAATGTTAAAATGACTTAAAATGGTTGCAGAAGATCCACCAAAAATGTACAAATGGACAGATTTATAATCTAATTACTGTGTGTCCTTTAGGTGTAAAACCAGTTATCAGCTTAATCAGTAAAATAAATGTGTAGTTATAATATTATCCTTGCCGATCAAGACAATGTAATGTATTCGAATGAATTTTCATTTAATTCCAGAGCAACCCCTGTTAGTCTCAGAACTGCTGAGGCAAGAAGACCTGCCTGTGAAGGGTTTACCTGCTAAAACATAGTCAACTGTTTTTGGGAGGCTGTTATCTCTGACATGCAAAGCAAATAACTGTTTTCTGTAATACGGTTTAAGTGGCCCATTTTTTTTTTTACCACAGTCAAGGGGTGTTAGGCAGCGATGTGAAGTGGATTGCCTAAAACCCACATCTTTGAGTGCCTTTGCTTTCATAAAATGACAACAGCAATATGATAAAAATGCCAATGTTCAATTGATACAATTTATCCATCAAGTAGTTCATTAGCCTAAATGTAGGTTTTTTTGCCATTGCCAAGCAACATAACAATCCTGGAGAGAGCAGCTTGGCACATTAATACAAAATGCAACTAATGTGCAGTCACAGTGTTTGTGTATTGAATAGTTCTGATCTTGGATTTTGATTGGTCAATACCACATTAAAAAATATAAATAAATAAATATAAATATAGGATAAAATCCTCAAGATAGTAGCAATTATGATGCAAAACACCTTTTAGTCATATCACTGCATGGCTTCCATATGTAGGCTAGAATTTTGTATTTTTTTTTTGTACAGCAATGTTCTATTATTCTAAGGACCGATAAGATGCCACCTGTTTGCTTAATAATATACCATTTTAATTAACAAATATATTGATATATTCACAATATAGCACCAGTGTTGATATTACACACCTGCAAACTAGTCGGAGTGAGACCATAGGCGTTTGTCTAGCTGTCGCAATCTTTTTTCCCAATAAAACATATTTGGTGCAGCGCATCGAGTCTTTTGACCAATCAGAATCAAGACTAGGGCATCATCCTCTTCTTTTCTCATTGGGCAACTTATCGCGGTTTTAAACAATGCGGAGGTAAGTTTGCTGTCAACGATGTAATGCTTTTAAATTAACCAAACCTTAGATAACTAATTGCTAAAATAATGTAAACTTGCCAAATCAATTGTTTCTGTCATTAAGTCAAGTAAGTTTGTCGTGATACAGTTTTTCCTAATGTTATCCCATCGAACTTCGACTTGTTCCTACTTCCTACTAGTCGACTTGTTAGCACCTAAGCTAATGTCAGTTCAGAATGAATCGGAATATGTTTGCTGAATTTAAGGCTAACTTCCACTGCATCCTTATTTCTATCTGATTTTAATGGCTGTCATTGTCGAGAGTTTACAAACGAACAATGAAACAAGACCTACTTAAGTGTGAAGTGTTAACAGAGTCAGTGTTGTTTGCTAATGTAGTGAATTTAGACCAGGGGTGGCGAACTCCGGTCCTGGAGAACCGCAGCCCTGCAGAGTTCAGCTCCAACCCTAATTAAAACTCACCTGCCTGTAGCTCCCTAGTAACCGTTCAGACCTTGATTAGCTTGGTCAGATGTGTTTGATTAGGGTTGAAGCAAAACTCTGCAGGATCGACTTTCGCCACCCCTGATTTAGCCTATGTCAAAGTAGTGAAGCATTTTAATACAGGGTGACAAATTAATAATAAATAATTCATTTCTTTGTTTACAACCTTGCTTCATTTCAGAATGAATCAACATTTTTTTTAATGAATGGCTGTTTTTTTTATTACCTTAGGTTTGAAATTAAGCTGAAATGATAAAAATATAAATATTAGATGGAAAACCTAAAAAAAAACATCAACAACTTGAAATTAGAAAATGTAGAAAATTAGAAATGTTGCCTTGATAACTGATATAAACAAGTTTAAAATTACTAAAAGTGAAAAACTAAAAGAAATGAGAAAACACTAAAATTACTTAACTATTATTAAAATGTTTAATTAGTATTCAAATTGACTAGTGTTGATATTAACTAAAACGATTAAAGGGGTCATTGGATGCCCATTTTCCACAAGTTGATAAGATTCTTTAGGGTCTTAATGAAAAGTCTGTAACATAGTTTGGTTAAAATTTCTCAATGGTAGTGTAAGAGTTAAAAATTCAACAGTTTTATTTTTGTACCTGTTATTATGAGGACTTTTATTATGACGGGGTGGAAGGTGCAAAGAAGAGAGGAGGATGTGAATAGAGAATAAAGGGGGGAAAAAGAACTCGTCAGTATTCGAGGGTTTTATTTGGCTAAACATTCAGTTTAAGCCCCGAAAACACCCACAAGCCCTTAAGCAAGCGTTACAGTAGTGTAAAACAACACCCGTTTTTTACCGTCAAAAACTGTCTACAGAAAACCGTTTTATTGCATGTTTCTTTAAATGCAAATGAGCTCTGCTAACCCCGCCCCTCTCTTCCATGCCACTGTCTGAGAGACTGTTTACTTTAGCCGCCTTCATCGTGAAACTTGCTAATTAGCACATTATAAGGAAAGTCGATTTGCAAAGATTCATTAAAAAAAACCTTCTGTTGGTGAAGCTGGATCACGAATGATTCGTGCGAACATAGACACATTTATGTAGATCGGGGGAGCATTCCCTTTAAAAAACGAACGTAATCCACTGCGTCTTTAGCGGCTCAGATGTCGGGAGTAAATGACGACTGCTATGTTCATTATTACATCCAACAATAGAACACCTCAATCGCTTATTAGGAGTCATTCTTGTCTACATCTGCTCCGGTGGTGAAACAATGTCGGACTGATGACAGTTCACTCAGGGCAGGTCTAAGGTAAGACACCAGTCCAGTTTGTGCTGAAACGCTACTGTCAATCAAACTATCGTGGGAGGGGCCTGTTTTTGTGACGTCACACAGACAGGCATCTGAGATCGGCTCGATTTGAGAAAGGGGAAAACATTTAACGAGATTTAAAAAAAAAAACCCTGGGGGGATCTTTTTCATTATAGGGTGGTTGTGTACACACACTGCCAACACACATTTCAGTTCAAACAACTTGTAAAAGTGCATGTCGCATCCGATGGCCCCTTTAAAACAATTTTCGGTATTTGAAATTATATACCGGTATTGATATTATATGAAAACAAAAAATGGAAATTAGACAATGTAGAGAATTAGAAATGTTGCCTTGACAACTGATATGTTTAAGTTGAAGTATTAAAATGACTTAAATGGAAAAACTAATAAAATGACAAAAACAATAAAATAACAAAATAAATTAAACTGAAAACTGACAGTTAAAAAAATAATTACAAAAATAATAAATGCTATAATACAGGTGCATCTCAATAAATTAGAATGTCGTGGAAAAGTTCATTTATTTCAGTAATTCAACTCAAATTGTGATGATTTTGCTCACATTTAACACAAATCTCAACAAATTAGAATACTTCATAAGACCAATAAAAAAAAACATTTTAGTGAATTGTTGGCCTTCTGGAAAGTATGTTCATTTACTGTACATGTACTCAATACTTGGTAGGGGCTCCTTTTGCTTTAATTACTGCCTCAATTCGGTGTGGCATGGAGGTGATCAGTTTGTGGCACTGCTGAGGTGGTATGGAAGCCCAGGTTTCTTCGACAGTGGCCTTCAGCTCATCTGCATTTTTTGGTCTCTTGTTTCTCATTTTCCTCTTTCCTTATGAAGTATTCTAATTTGTTGAGATAGTGAATTGGTGGGTTTTTGTTAAATGTGAGCCAAAATCATCACAATTAAAAGAACCAAAGACTTAAACTACTTCAGTCTGTGTGCATTGAATTTATTTAATACACGAGTTTCACAATTTGAGTTGAATTACTGAAATAAATGAACTTTTCCATGACATTCTAATTTATTGAGATGCACCTGTAGTAGCTATATAAATTTTATAAGCTATATACATTTTTGTAATCTATAAAGATTACACTAACAGACACTCTCACCTTATAGCGTAATTATTATCAGAATAATTCCAGAGCTATAATGTGATTGGAGGGGCTATATTAATGTGCAACCTGCATACAGATGGCTTAAACCTCTTGGCAAAAAATAAATGTTTATTATAGTGCTGGGCAACAATAAATTTTTTTAAATCGTGCTTAATTGCATGATTTTCTGCGATTAATCACATTATGCAAAAAATTAAATAATGAATTCAAAAGTAGTGTATTGTGCAGAGCCTCGATCATAACATCATAACGGGCACCTTCCCAGTAGAGACCTGCACGATTGCGGGACCCAACGCAGCAGAGTGAGGCGTGGGACAACACTTGATGGGCGGGTGCGGGTGGGTAGAGACTTGTGTGTGCGGGAGAATAAGGGTGTATCACACTAGGCAATCTTAACCATGCCCGAGCGTGTCTGACCCCCAAAGCCCGGTTCGTTTGACTAGTGTGATCG